TATGCTCAAACTTGTTGGGAAGCATTACTATTGGATAGAGAAAATAATTACATGATAAAATAAAAATATTTACGCTATTTATATTTCATGGAAGTGTAGAAAAGTAAACTAATATAAATAAAAAACAAAGTTACCACCACCACGAGGTGCCGACGCATGGCTATAGATGGGCTTTGCTTCGCACAACAAAGTGGTGATAGAGACAAACTGCATCACATTTAGGATTGTGGTCGGGGGGTATATATAAGCTACCTCCTCGAAAGAGGGTACAAAGACTGCCTATAGGGCCCACACGACCAGGCATTGCGACCAAAGGAGAGGGCCACACGGAGTCCACCGGCCTCCCGTATGATCCATCTTCAATAGGTGCAATGTTCTTTGATGTTATATTTTGGGGTTCAAAGTTTCCAACAATTACATGCACAAAAACATGCATCTGGCCTATCCATCACTTTGTCAATATAGTCAAGATAAAGTTTTTTTTTGTTTTGCTAAGAAAATGATATGGATTATTTTAAAATTATATATGTCTAGGACACATATATAACCGCCCCTAAAGAATTGTATAAATTACCAACACTGCGAATTGTGTACATATTGTAAAAGGTAATAGTAATGTTTCAACTGACTCTAATACTTTTATTGCGTTCCAACATTGTAACCTATCTATAGCATGAGATAAGCATTGATGTGGCAAGGAATAACATGTTTAAATCAGGTGTAACATATACTTTTCATCTGTAGTTCAACAAATAATTAATATGTGGACTTATGAAAACTCATATAAGATTTGTCTAAGTGCAAAAATGTTGAACAATTAACTGTGATTTCTTTTTGATATACAAAGTTCTACCGGTTGATGTGTTTTGGTACAGTTAAGGAGGTTGTGGTGGCCGCCTAGGGTAGATCGGGAGGAGCGCGTCGCCTGGTCAGCACGTGGCTGGCCACGTGCTGGAATGCTGGTCCAACAAATAATTAATATGCACACCTAAAAGAGTAATGTGAGATATGTCTCACTGCTATAATGTTGAACCACCAGGTGTGATTTGTTTTCTGACATATGAAATTCTACTGGTTATGATATACTACCTCTGATCCAAATTAATTGACACAACATCTATACAATTTTCATTTTATATTTTATAGAGGCCGCCTCAATTAATTCGAACCGAACAGAGTATATATTTTGGTACGGTTGTGAAGATTGAACGGATGTGATCATTTTAGGTATAACTATGTGGATCCGACGAATCCTATTTATTTAGGCACCACTATATCGATCTGGTACAATCATGTAATCCCCCGTCCCATGATACAAATGACTCCTACAATATGTTTAGAATCTACCAATAAAGTGATGGTCCACCAGATCGATGACCGAACATTTTTCTTTTCTTTTTTAGGAACCTCTAGCACATCTCTTTCATTGTATAGTACTCCCTCTGTCTGAAAATACTTGTCAGATAAATGGGTATATCTAGAGGTATTTTCGTTTTACATACATCTATTTTATCCATTTTCCAACAAGTATTTTCGCATGGAGGGAGTATATTTAAGATTGGAATATATGATTTCATGAATGTTTTTTTTTTCAAATGTGTGATATACTGTAAAAGGTCCTCGTGAAATTGCGATTTTGCATAATTAGCTCATACCTTTTCTGCTTGCTCACGACAGTGCAACTGTACACTTCATGAACATCGCACTTAACAGCGACCATGTTGTTCCCTTCGATTATTGGACCCTTTTCCTCCTCACATATGACTGTCCAGCTACTGTGCTTCCCGGACAGTAACTGCAAACCAGACGCACGCTCACAAATCAATCCAGAATTTAAGGCAACTAAATAGACAACTTCCATTTGCCCTAAATAGGCTTCCTCCGACCACTAGACCTCGCCGGCCGAGTCATTAATTAGCCGGACAAACCAACGCATGCATGGATCAGCCCCCTCTTCTTGGGAGCGGCCCCAGAGCCGCAGCCATTACCCGCAATGGTTCAGCTCCCTCCGTCGCAATGCATCAGCACGCAGCCTCTACAACAACTTCACCACCGGAAAAGGCGCCGGCGGCGACACCATTCCGGGCCTCGGAACACTGTGGAGAGTCTAGCCACAACAGGAGATCATCTGACACGATCAAGGCCAAGATCATGTCCCACCCTCTCTATCCGGCTCTCCTCGGAGCCTTTATTGACTGCCGGAAAGTAGGTGCCATTCCAATTTGACATTAGACAACTCGTATCTTGCTGCCCTGCTGTCTCTTATTTGGTTATTTTTCCTCTGCCCAATAAGGTCGGAGCGCCGCCGGAAGTCGTTGGTCGGCTCTCCTCCCTCGTCGACGAGCTCCGGCCAAATTCAGCCGGCATCCAGGAACAGCCGGCGGACCCAGAGCTCGACCAGTTCATGGTAACAAGCATTACATGATTAGTTTAGCTAGCTGGAGCTTAATTATTTGCATACATGGACCTAACGATATATATGCTTTTGTGTGTGTGTGTGTGTGTGTG